TTTTTGTTTAGCTTCTGTTCCCTTATGTGATTTTAATCTAACCTGTACATAATTTTAGCATCTCTAATTTGTTCAAAATAAACATCTGTGGATCTCTCACAATTCTGAAGTTATTACCACTAGTTAGTGCCTCATTGAAAACATTGTCCCTTAAGTAACTCTTAAAACGCAATTATGATGCTTGGAAGAGATGACCCTAGGCCAGGAAGAAGGCCTGATTTCATTCTGATAGTAGTTTTCCCATTTGTTCCTGGAAGGGAGGGAAGCCAGGAGGGCCCTGGAATGGGAGCATTTAGTGGAGAAAGATAGTAAGGAAGAGCTCTGAGGCACTAGGCAAGTAGTGGTGGAGATGCTCCACACACCGGGGCCTGGTGAGCAGCCAGAGGGCGGTGTGGGCACACTGGATCCTGGCCACAGCCACCCATGAACTTCACCTCTCTCACAACCTCAGGCACAAAAACTTGAGTAACATAGATTTAGATTATTCAGAGAAATGGTTGAAGAGAGATGAATTTCATAGAGATTAAGGGAATTAATCATTTAAAAGCTAGGAAAACAATGACAAAAAATGAGGAAGGAAGAAACTGAAATTAGTAAATTAACAATTAAAAAGCAAAATTACATACACACACAAAATACACACAAAATATCTTTAGCAAGCAAATGCCGTATGGCCTTTCATTACCCACTCCCTGCCCATCCTCACTTGAATTAGTATGTGGTTCTTCATGAGTGTGAGTGAAGGAAAGCAGGTTAAATACATCAAAGGAGGTTATAAGGGTTTGCTGTTTTGAACACCTGTTCTATGCATGGTGTTGATTTCTAACTTGCTATGGGACCACAACATCTCATCACTTTAAACAGAGACTCCTGGCTTTAGTATTCCTTTTTTCTATTTAGACTATTCCAGTACCCAACCCTCTCTGATGGAAAATATTGAGAATTGCTGGTCTTCCAACAAGACTTTGGTTATTCTCAGAGTAACCAAAATTAATTGCATTTTTAAAAATACTGATAGGGGTTCACTCATACATCTATCAGAAGAAACCCTTTGTCCTATTAAGAGATAGAGTAACATGTTGCTTAAATGTGTGGGCACTTGGGGTTAAACTGATGGGGTTATGTCTGACTTTAAATTTTCTGTGCCCATGTGTAACATGGGTGATAACGGCATCAGCCTCATTGGACTTTTCATTCAGCAGATGTCTGTTGAAGCCAACTCTGTGCCAGGTCCTTTGTAGACACAAACTGTAAATAAACTGTATAGGATGCTGAAAGGTGAAACATGCCATAGAGATAAAGAAAGCAGAGTAAAGGGAATGAGAGTCTTGGAGGAAGGGAGGGATATAGTTTTAAATAGGATGGTCAGGACAGACGTCACCAAAAGGGTAAAATTGCAGATGCCAGGAGCCATGCAGATGTGTGGGGAAGGCATACTCTAGGCAGCAAGCTGGCCTAAAAGCCCAGAGGTGTGAGTGTGCTGTGTGGTTGGAGAAAGGGCAGGTGCCTGTGTGGCTGGAACTCTTCAGTGAATGAGCTGAAGGTAGGAGATGACGCCAAGAAGCAGAGAGTTGGGGCTAGTGGAGTAGGGCCTCACGGACCCCTGTGAGGACTTTGTCTCTTGCCTTGGAGTGGAGTGATGTTGTTGCCAGTAGAGGGTTTTGAGCTGAAAAGTGACATAATCCTTTTTAAAATAGCCACTCTAGCTTCTGTGTTGAGAATAGGTGTCAGGGGGACAAGTGTGGAATCAGAGACCAGAAAGTAGATGATTATAGTCATCTAGGTGAAAGGTGAGAGCAGCTTGGATTGAGGTAGGAATCTTGGCAGTAGTAAAAAGATGATTGAATTTTAAATATATTACTGGAAGGTAGTCAACAGCACTTGCTGATGCTTGGATGTGGGATGTAGGAGGGAGATGAGTCAAAGATGTTGGCCTGAGCCCTTGGAAGTATGGTATAGAGCTGACACGAAGAAGGGGAAGACTCTGAGTGGAGGAGGTTTTAGGGGGGATTTTAGGGGTTCAGTGTTGACATATTAAGGATGAGACCCTCATTAGATGCCCAAGTGGAGATGCTGAGTTGTCCAAAACATGTATGTGTCCAGACTTGGGAAGAAAGGTCCACGTTGGAGATGCACTAAGGTAATTGTCAGAGTATAGTGGAATTCAAAGCAACGAGATCAGATGGTAGAGTTTGGGATACAGAGTCCAATACCAGGTACCTCATTAATTAGAGGGACTTTGGGAGAGTCACTTAGCTTCCCTGTGACTCCATCTCTTCCTCTGTGAATACTAAAAGGAGTAATTATTTCACGGGGCTGTTGTGAGAATTAAAATGACCGCTAATCTATAAAACACTTGGAACATGGTATTTAGTCATGCATAACTTAGTTTTCATTACAACCATTCTGTATACCTGGGGGGCAAACGTATCGACTCATATTTTTATTAATGTAGCAATGCAGCTTTTCTTCCAGTGCTGTTATTATATTTCTGGTTTGTGACCATTATTTGCTAGTACGAGTCTCACTCATTTGGTTTTGCCTCCAGAATTTAGCTGGCCTGGATTTTTGATATTAGCTCTGCCACAGTTGTTGATTTCTTTTTCAAAAAGCCTATATATATATATATATATTTATATACACACACATATATTCTTATATATATATTTTTAGTGTCTATTTCTTGTTCAGAAAAGTCTTACGTGTTTCTTCAGTGTTACTTTCCTTTGCTTTTCTCAGTGCTCAGCAGAGGAGCAGTCAGGTTCACAAGAAAACCACAATTGGAAATCAGGTAGGAGTTATTCAAGAGAATCAGCGCATGCCTGCCCCAAAGAACTTGAACTAAATCGCTTGATTGACTATTTTTTTAATGCAAATTAATCCCGTGCAAATTTTGCTTGAAGTGCAGCTTTCTGTTTTGGTTTTGCTTTTAAAGTTCTTTTGGAGTGAATTGTGTTTCTTTTTGGCTATTTTATGCAGTTAACTATATTGATTTATTTTAAATAACTTTTCCCGCTACTTGCTCTGCATTGCCAATTTGACTCCTCATGTCCTATTTTGCTTGCTTACCTTACTCCTAAATTGAATTTAACATTGACTCTGTGAGTCAGTTCAAGGTTAAAATTTGGTGAGTAGTTGCATGAGCTTTCTGAGCTGCTGACTAGTTCACACATTTGCACAGCTTGGTATCAGTGAAGGGACAGCTCATAAAGAAGGCAGTCATTGGATTTAATCTCTGCCACACTAAATTCTGGTTGGTTAATGAAGATGTTAATTCCTAAGGAGATCTCATCTTTTGAGTTCTTATGTTTCTGGGCTGACCAGCTGTCTCTGACTAATAGCGCTCCGCAGAGATTGTATTAACTCGACAGTTTGCTGTTTCTTTTATGTTTATGTGATAATGAATATTTGCATTGTTATTTCTTTTCAAGTCAAAACAATGATGGTTTTACAATTTTTGAAAAATGTGCAGAGGTACAATTATTGAACAAATTGAAACCTCTGCTCTAGATTTTTTTTCCCCATTGTTTTGAAAGGAGAAGAGGTAATAACAGACTTTATTTTAAAAACTTTTTTTCTGAACTAAAGCATATAATTCTTTGCTATTTCAGGGAACCAATCTTCCGCCTTCAAGGCAAATTGTACGAGCTAAGTTCTGTAAGCTTTACTGTTGCTTTTTCATTTAGCTTCCCAAGGGCACAGTTTGTCTTTAACTGATTAACTCAACTAGCGCTTGCTACTAATTTTTTTTAAACTTAGGTTGTCTTGTCTGTAACACCCTATTGTTGCAGTAAAAATCCTCTTAAGAGGGTTTATCCCTTCACTGCTAATAACTTGCTGTGATTGAAAGGTATGAACTAGTAAACTCTAAAATGCTGTAATATTAAGCCCTTAACACTGTGGGTGCTTTAATGTTTCTCTAATTTTAATGGGCCTTAAAATAATTAAAATCATTAATGATCTACATCTCTGTCCTTTGATGCTATGTTGTTATGAGATGTACGCCTTTCTCTTTTCCCTTGTTTGATAATGTTTCTAGTAAGTGCATATGATGCTTCTAAAAGGTGGGTGAATATTACACATCTGATTTTGTTGTATTTGTTGATTAAGCCTAACCAAATTCCAATTATTTGTATTTGTTTATTTTAAAATAATAAAAAAAAAAGCAAAATTGTATCCCTTGGCATTTTATGTGGCTATAGTGTTGAATTTTTTGCAAAGTAGACACTGAATCGCCATTTGTATGGAAGCATAAAGACACTGTTAAGTGATTAGTCCTAGGAATTGAGGAAAATACTGCACTCTCATTTCTACCACGGGTGAAGCAGGCTTATCCTTCTAACTATGCACAAGTTGGAAATGAGATTGGAACAATTATGTGCCCCATGATGTTTGGAAGACCACGGGCTTTGGATCTTAGACGTTCCTGAGTGCAAATTCTGTTCTGCCGCTTAGAAGCCACGTGACCTTGAGCAGATTGAGCCTGAGTTTGCTCAACTGTATGATGGGGTCATTACGGGAATCAGAAATAACAGGCACACTGAGGTTCGTAGCCAAGTGCAGAATATACGTCCTATAAAGAGTAGAAACCTTGCTCCCAGAAGGTAGGTGCTGCTGCTTGAAACTTTTGGGGGGAAATATTAAGTATCAGAAAATAACAAAAATTATAAAATAAGAAAAATAAAACACGGAGAAAAATTAAAAGCTATGGCAAATTGCTCTGATGCCTGCAATGCCCAGATTATAGGCTGGGTGTGTTATAAAGGATTTACCTCCAAAAGTTTCTTCATGGTCAGAAGCGTCTCTAGCTCACAGAAATCTATATTATAGGAAAAGTAAGAGTAAAATGGCAGAAATGCATACTTTCAATCAAAGGGAACTCAGAACAGCTCTCAATTCTATTACTTCTAAATGATAAAAATCACGCTAATTGTATTTCTGTGTCTTTGCTTTTGCTGGGCACTTCAAAGTCCATACATTGCGGGAGTTTTATAACTAAAGGTGGTAGAATTGGATGCGTGTTGTAATAGAATATAGATCCCTTATCCAAAACCCCTGGGGCCCGTTGGAGCCAGACTTGCTTTGAAGGTAAGAATTTTGGGGGGTTTTAGAAAGACAATACATTGACCCTACCATAGATTGCCCAGCATTCCCATGGGCTCAGAGGCAGCACCCTGTAACAAACACGTTTTGTATCTGCAGAGAAACAAATCAATAGTCACACCAAGTAGACTAAATGGAAGATATAAATCTTCTCACATCACATCACATCAAATTTTGTTGCCAAATTTGTTAAAACAAAGAAAGAAAAAAACCAACAACTTTCAATTTTCAAGTAAGAGATTTTGAACTGGAATATATTATTTTCCAAAAAAAGTCCGATAATTTATAAGATACAATACATTTTCAAGGGATCTTTTATTGTTTTTTCTATTTAGCAGAAATAAACCATAATTACTTGAATGGTTTTTCTTTATGGATCTGAGTTGATGAAGGCGTATGTGAAAAATGTTTTGTCTACTAAGAGTCTCCAATAGAGGGAGCCATAGAGCCCAGCCTTCTAACTGATGATGGCTTTTATGGTTGGTGGGGCTGAAATACCCAGCAGTATCCTGGCAAGTGGTTCATCCATTTTGCTATTTTATTTTATTTTTTTAGGACTCCTGGTGGTAAGAATTTGCTGTGCAGTGTCTGTTGAAATGCTTTAGAATGATTTTAGGAAAGCAAAAATTTCCTTTAGAGTCTCAATCACATTTGTTTTTGTCTGCTTAAAAATTTTCATAGTTCTACCAAAAAAAATGTCAACAAATATACAAAAAAATGTGAGCACACATTTCACTTAAAGTTAGACTGGTGAGAAATTTAAACTTCATTCATCTCTTCACTCATCAAACATGTATTTGAAACCTGTGTGTATAAAATCTGTGGTGGGTATTCAGAGAGCTTGGCCCCCAGGGAGCTCACAGCCCAGTGGGGAGGATGGTAAATAAGAAAATTAAAGTCTGCCTCCTTTTCCAAGGCTAGATCCTCCTGACCCTGCCTGGCCCATATTGACATTTTCTGCCTGGAGAGTGGAGAAAGGCTTTGGGGGGAGGACAAGTCTGGGAAAAGGAAACTAGTTAGGAAGCTAATGAGGACAAAAAATCATGCTGATCTGGGCTTGGGTATTTGTACTGGATTTGAGGGAAAAGTCATGAATTTAAGAGGTATTAAGTAGGAAGAATAAAAAAAAATGTAAGCTAGATGTTGGGGAGAGGGCTGAAGATCGTCTACAGTGCCATTCAGATTTCTGATTTAGGCACAGGTAAGGCCGTGGTGCTTTAATACTGAGAAAGTCATTTTGGATCCAGGGTCAGGAAGGGTAGCTTTCTGAGTGTAAGACACTTTGGGAGTTTGAAGTCAAAATGTCCAGTGGGAAGTTGGATGAAAGTGTCTAGAGTCCAGAAGAGACAGAGAACTATTTCTTCCAAAGACATTGGTTAGCCATGGAAGGATCTTCCAACAGAAGGGGTTTAGCAACAACTGATTTTTGTGCTAAAAAGATCTGTGTGTTAGCCATGTGCAGTGGATTGAAGGAGTAAAACTAGAGATGTGGAAATTGTTGAGGATGGTTATGAAAGAATTCAGGAGAGAAAATGTTGGTAGCAGACAGATTCAAAAAATAATATATTCAGGGGTTAGAATTGGAAGGTGGTAAGTATTGATAGTTTGGGGGGTGGTTAAGGCATCCTCCCATGTTTATGGCTGGTGGGACCCACTGATGAAAGGAGTTCAGGAGAAGGGGAGCAAGCATCAGTGAAGATGGGAGAAGGAGATACTGATTTCAATTTGGGGCCACCTTGTGGCTATGGGCGGTATCATTAGAGTTTGAGGTTCAGGACTCATGTACACTGGAGATACCAATTTTATAGTTGTCTATATACACACATTATACGTAGTAGCTGAAGTACAGATACTACATTTATATATTGTAGCTAAAGCCATGGGAGTATATGAGATCACTTCCAAAGGATGGGAGCATGGAAGGAAATACAGGATGTAAAGCATGATGGAGAAAAAAGAATTAGAACAAAATGAGGAACTGAAAAAAAGGAGTCTAAGAAGTGATTAGAGACGTAGAAAAACGTGCAGAGCAGTGGAATGAAAACCAATGAGAGAGAATGTTTCAAGGAGGCTATGGTCAATAGAATCAGGTTTCTGAGGGCCTGAGGAATTTGTGACAAGCCCTGCTCAGTGCTGGGGACCATCTGACGGTGTAGTGGTAGCACTAGTTCTCTTGGCCTTGTGAATTACTCTCCTACTCTACAGTGGGTAGAGGGTAGCATAAAGCTGAGAATACAGACAGTTGAATTGATATCCTCAGCTGGAGTTTTTCTAGGGAGGCAGCACCTATGGTTCAGAGAGGTGAGTTAGACTTTTGCAGACAGGTTGGGTTTGTAAAAATCTGTGTAATCTCATATGAATGGTTTGCTGGATGTATCAGTAATCACAATCAATCAACCAAGTAACAAACAAGCCCCACAATTCCAGTGGATTGCCGTAAGAAAGGTTTTGTTCACCAGGCCTTAACAATTCAAATGAAAGTCTTCAAGATGGGGAGGGATGCATCTTGCTTCATGTAGATGCATTCTATGGTCTCATTCTTAATCAGGGACAAACTGGACTTTGGAACACTCTTCATTCTTCCAGCAGATGGGAAGGAGACAGAGCCTGAGTGAGGAGGTTTTTAAGGATGATCCTGTAAGTGGCACACATCACTTCCGCTTACAGTGCATTGAACAGAACTCAGTCCTCTGGGTGCCCATAACTGCATGGAAAATAGGAAAATGCAATCTGAAAACGAAAAGACAAAAGATGTTGACTGAAGATTGAAAGGAAATGGACAACCCTGGGCCCTGAAAGTTTTACTGAAATCAGAGAAAATCTGTGCTAGGATGAAGGGGAAGAAGTGATGAGGTGGGAGGTGGAAGTCAGTGGGCAGGATGCTGTATTTCAAGATGGAAGAGTCAAGAGAATGTCCCCTAAAAGTCAGGGATGTCACTGGGATAAGAGAACAGACTCTGGAGGAGTGCCCCAACAAGTGATAGCTATGGGTATTTGTGGAACCTTGTTCGTCTTCAGAAGGTATGGATAGCTGAATAAAAGTGGGTGAAGTCTCCTGGGTGTGAATATGTTAGAGGCCAGGAGGATTGATGTCATTCCGTTGGCATCTAGAGTATAGGACAAGAAAGCGTTGTTAAAATGCTCCTTGGCCCCAGACTGTATCTAGCCAAAATTGTGTAACTGGGAAGACGTTTTCCTTAGAGGGTAGAGCTGGTGTTTTCACCAGCCTGGGCACGAGGGTACCTCCTAGTCCCAAGCTTATTGTCTATTTTTTTTTGCCAACCATGTGCCCACTATTGTTCTAACTTTAGACTGGAGTATGAACTTTGGCTTTCCCCAACCTGCAAGGCTCCAGGTAACTGAGTTATCAATCTTTTGCATTGTAGGCTATAAACAGAAAAGACCTTTCCTATCCAGGAAGGGTTTCTGAAAGCTAGTTCTAGTAGACACTACCAGTAGTTGCGTCTTCCCATATTAGCACCTCCTACAGATCTCAAAATATTCTCCATGCCCTGTAACATCCTCAAGTTTTCCTGCC